ATGGGCGGGGCCGGGGGAACCAAAAAAACAAACACCTAAACCTGGCAAATCATATAGGCCTGGGGGGAGGATATCCAGAACAACTAACACATAAACCCTAGCCCAAAATAAAAGGGGGGGGTGGGGATATCCGAAAACAAACACACTAAACCTATCCTAATCATAGGCCCCTGGGCCGGAGGATTCCAAAACAACTAACACACGAACCTAGTCCAAACATATAGGCCGGGGCCTGGAGGATACCCGAAAAATACACACTGAACCTAGCCCTAATCATATAGGCCGGGCCGGGGAAATCCAGAACACTAACCATAAACCTTCCAAATCATATGGGCCTGGGCCTGGAGATATCCAAAAAAAAACAACAAAAAAATTCCTAACAATAGCCTGGGCCGGGGATACCAAACAACAAAACACATAAAACTAGTCCAATCTATGGCCGGGCCTGGGGAATCCAAAAAACTAACCACAAAACCTAGTCCAAATCATATGGCCGGGGCCCTGGGGATATCCAAAAAACTAACACACTAAACCCTATCCAATAAAGGCGGGGCCTGGAGGATATCCAGAACAATAACACCTTCAGTTTTCTACTCTAACTAAACTAATGGTACCAATCTGGAGTAAGTTGTAAAGTTTGAATAAATAGTGTGTTATCGGAATGGAATCATGGCATTAGAATGTACCAGGGGCCCCCAAAATAGAGTTTCCCCCAGCCGAACTCCCTGGCTGGCTACTTTTCTATTTGGGGCTATCCACTACTTCAAAAAAAAAAAGGGGTTGGGGACCATGTACATAACAATATCCCTTCCTCCAGGAATTCTTTCAGAACAACGAAAGAAATAGGAAAAGAAGACAAGGAGTGGAGGAAGAAAAGGGGAAGAAAAGAGGAAGAGGAAGAGGAAAGAAAAAGGGAGAGAGAGACAGAGACGAGAGAGAGAGAGAAGAAGAGAGGAGAGATGAGAGAGAGAAGACATAGGTGAGAGAGAGAGAGAGAAAGAGAGAAGATATGAGAGATAAGGAGAAAGAGAGAAAGAGAGAGAGAACCTTTGGGAGGAGAGAGAGAAGGAGCGAGAGAGACTCTCTCTAGCTTGCTCAGACGAGATAATACGTCGAGAAGTAAACTGGAGAGTTTGGAGAAGATCGTGGGGTTTCGTGTGAGAGGATGAGAACACGAGAGAGAGAGAAGGCTATCTCCGAGATAGAGAGATAAAGGGAGATTCATCAAATTCAATTACAAACCACTCCAGTCGTTCAGAGTCAGTTAAAGTTGCTTTAATTCTGTTTTTAAAACATGGATTCCAGGCTGAATGATGTCACCACCACAGTTTATAACAGACAGTATTATTATCTTAGTAAACCGTTGTTGCTGCCGGGTACAATAAAAACAACCATCAAAAAAATCAAGTCTACAGTACGTTTTTATCCAAAAAAAGATGCAATGCAAGACACAGTCATTCAGCATTATTATAAAGAAAAACAGAAAACAAAATGGTGCCATTATTATTATTATTAGCATTATTACCCTACAAAAAGAGCTAGCTATTGTTTTTTTAGATTTATTTTTTAGAAGACAGAGAAATTAACACGTGTGATATGAAGAGTTGTTAGAGTGTTAAAACTTTAAGAAAAGGCCATTGGTTCTTAGTTTCCAACAGGTTTTTTTGTCCCGTCATGCAAACGCAGTAGTATAGGTAGCGTTGTCATGGTGACGTGATGAACAGAATATTTAAACGAGTGGAATCACACCGGTTACGATTGTCTCGCTGAAAACGACAGAGAAGTGGTCTTTCATTCACAGTAAATTATACAAACACACTGAGCTTGTCATGGTAGGATGAAGTTGCTTCCTAGACACTGATCTAAGAAATGTTTTTGTGTTCCCCCTAAATGGTTAAGATTAGGATTATGGGAGGGTCAATTTATCCTAGATCTGTGGTTAAAGGCAACTTCTACCCAGAGCGAGTTAATCAAGATTGTTCGAACGATCATTCCTATGGACTCTTTCTCCCATTAACTGGAAATCCCTCTAGTTAATACACTACATTTCCCATGATGCAAATACTAACCAGTGTCAAATTTAAAGGAGTGAGGGTGTATGGGTAATGCAGTTCTATGTGTGTGAGTGACAGTTCACAGGACAATGGCTAGATATAAAGAACAGTGTGTGTGTGTGTGTGTGTCCATGATGTGTGTGTGTCTGCAATCTGTGTCCACAATGTTTGTGTCTGCGATGTGTGGGTCTGCAATGAATGTTAGTGGTGTGTGTTTATTAGATGAAGATTGGTTAATACTAAGGACCAAGCCCTTAACTTGCCGGCAACCGCACACACAGACCACTGTACTGTACGTACAGACAGACAGCACACAGGAGAGAGAGAAGAGATCAATACCAAGACTACACTGGACGAGCCATCACACACAAGAGTGATGAGAGAGATTACAGCTACACTATTATTATCATCATACACTTTACAGCACATAGTAGAGAGAGAGAGAACTACTGGCAGCCCCATAGAGTTACATAGAGTACCTAGTAAGGTAAGATTAGGCTTTAGAGTGGCCTCTATCTAACTCTATGGTCGGCACCTAGACATAGAGAACTACTGGCAGCCCCATAGAGTTAAATAGAGTACCTAGTAAGTTAGATTTCGTCTTTAGCGAGGCCTCTATCTAACTCTATGGACGGCCCCTAACCTGGTCAAGGAGACAGACCGCTGCACCGCTCACGTTTCCTTTCACTTCACGTGAAACAAAACAAGAGCTAACGTGAGATCAGGCTGGTTTCACGAGGCTTAAGTGTTCCCACAACGCACACACTTTACATCAACATGAGTGTGTTCTTTTCCGTCTCCCATAGTCACCTCGAAGATCATTTGTGCTTCTGAGAAGAAGAAAAAAGGTCCCGTTTGAGAAAGGTTGTGAACCCTAACCTCATCGTGACCTTTACTCTCAGTCTGAGGTCGTTAAAGATCACTGTTTGACAAAATAATAAAAATGCAGTAAAGTAAAACATTTTTTTTTTTAAGAGAACGTTGGTCACAGCACCCAATGCTTCATTTTCAAGTTATATTAAATTAAAAACATTTTATTTTAAAAGTATTTCTCTGTCTTTCACCGTATGATCCAACATTATCCAGGATTTATTTTCCCTTTCTGAGAGTTCAGCATCCCTCATTATTCAGTTATTTGGCACAGGTGAGCTCTCCCATGTCCTTTAGTTTAGGAGAGTTCAGCATCCCTCATTATTCAGAGTTATTAGTCCACAGGTGAGCTCTCCCATGTCCTTTAGTTTAGGAGAGTTCAGCATCCCTCATTATTCAGAGTTATTAGTCCACAGGTGAGCTCTCCCATGTCCTTTAGTTTAGGAGAGTTCAGCATCCCTCATTATTCAGAGTTATTAGTCCACAGGTGAGCTCTCCCATGTCCTTTAGTTTAGGAGAGTTCAGCATCCCTCATTATTCAGTTATTTGGCACAGGTGAGCTCTCCCAGTCCTTTAGTTTAGGAGAGTTCAGCATCCCTCATTATTCAGAGTTTATAGTCCACAGGTGGCTCTCCATGTCCTTTAGTTTAGGAGAGTTCAGCATCCCTCATATTCAAGTTATAGTCCACAGTGAGCTCTCCCCATGTCCTTTAGTTTAGGAGAGTTCAGCATCCCTCATATTCAGAGTTATTAGTCCACAGGTGAGCTCTCCCATGTCCTTTAGTTAGGAGAGTTCAGCATCCCTCATTATTCAGTTATTTGGCACAGGTGAGCTCTCCCATGTCCTTTAGTTTAGGAGAGTTTCAGCATCCCCTATTATTCAGAGTTATTAGTCCACAGGTGAGCTCTCCCATGTCCTTTAGTTTAGGAGAGTTCAGCATCCCTCATTTATCAGAGTTATTAGTCCACAGGTGAGCTCTCCCATGTCCTTTAGTTTAGGAGAGTTCAGCATCCCTCATTATTCAGAGTTATTAGTCCACAGGTGAGCTCTCCCATGTCCTTTAGTTTAGGAGAGTTCAGCATCCCTCATTATTCAGAGTTATTAGTCCACAGGTGAGCTCTCCCATGTCCTTTAGTTTAGGAGAGTTCAGCATCCCTCATTATTCAGTTATTAGTCCACAGGTGAGCTCTCCCATGTCCTTTCCTCTTTTCCTCCAGTCCCAGAGTTAGTTTGGGAACGCAAACTCTTTCTCCGGGAATCTGGAATCGGATTTCAGAATGTTTGGAATTCCACCATGTTCCGTTCGGTCCTGGACTCCTATTTACATGTGCGTTAGACGCACGCAAACACACACACAGAACACGGAACACACTCAAGAGAGAGCTCACGATTCACGTTCTTGTCATACGTGTAGTTAGTTAACGTGGCTCCTACACAGGTTAAATGGAACACAGCACTGCTGTACGGTATGGGGCTAAAATCTATCTACAGATTTATACAGATATTGGAGAGAGTGGTTCCTCCACAACATGGCTTTCTGATTCAGTTTCAGGCCACATGGTCTGTCTGCACAACAGCCCCTTGCAGTAAAGTCGAAAACACCAGATGTTACAGGAATGTTGGGAGCGTTTTGCGGAGTGCAGGGGCCGTTTTTGCAGTCAGATTCTGTGTCCTAGTGGCTTGGTAGATTAGATGGCAGGAGGGTTGTTTACAGAGGCAGGTAGAGTAAAGTGAGGCACACACACGTACAGGCCTCTATGTGTGTGTGTGTGTGTGTGTGTGTAGCCTAGAACGTGATACAGCGTCAGTCCTTAGAAACACACACACTAAATACATCTAGATACCACCATGTTTCAGTTTAGTCTTCCTCAAGAATGTAACTCATACTAGTTCACTATTTACAGTTCTATACAGGATGTGTGTGTGTGCGTCTGTGAATGGCTCAGGCTCATACCTGCAGTCACCACCAGAGGGCAGTATACTTAGTAAAGACAGGTGGAGGGATCCAGTTTGAGATGGTGTAAAGCTGAGTGGGACTGTGGGACGGTTGTAGGGGAGAGGGGTGGATGGAGTTGAGGTGGGGGGGGGGGGGGGTATCTACAGGGTTCATGGTGATCTTCTGGAGTCTGTAGGTAGGTTGGTGTTGGTTGGCTGATGGTTGGCTGATGAGTTGAGGTTCTGTTCTAGAGTGTTGGTGCTGGTGAGTTGGGCTGGTTGGTCCGTTGGTTGGCTCTGCTTTTCAACCCACTGTGGTCTGTTCAGGTGAATCAGATAAGTATTATTTTAGTGGTTCCTATGGGCTGAGGAGGTGGTTATGATCCTTAGTGGTTCTGGTTCTATAAGTGGACTACTGTGTCAATAGGTTCTAAGGAGTTGGTGGTTCTCGTGGGTTGTGGTTCTTTAGTGGAATTAAGAATTGGTACTGGGTTTGTTCCTGTTCTTTAGTGGTTGATGAGTTCTTTCTAGAAGATTCTGGTAGGTTATAGTAGGTTCTGGTATGTTTTGGTAGGTTCTGGAAGGTTCTAGTGGACAGAGGACTGTGGTCTGGCGAGGGGATGTGGTCGGCTGGCCGGGTCCAACTGGTCATTGGGGACTGACCGTCGGTTCTGGTCCGGTCGACTGGTGGCCAGATACTTGGCCCTCATACTCGAGGTGTACTGGAGAGAAAGAGAGAGAGAGACATAGGGGGAAGAGACAGAAAGAGGGGTAGGGGGGGAGAGAGAGAGAGAGACATAGGGGGAAGAGAAAGAAAGAGGTGGTTTAGGTGGAGAGGAGATGCTCTATGCCCCTCAAGAGACGCCCGAGTGTTAGTGTCGGAGACTCGAGATCTCTCAGATGGTCTAGCACATTTCGCGGGGAATATACGAAGGTGCTCTCTGTCTATAGGAGGACGTTGGGAGAGAGATAGTGTTAGGTCGTAGTAGAAATCGGGGTAGGGAAGAGAGTTACGAGGCTTGATGGAAGAGAGTGTAGGAGGGGGTTGTAAGAGAAATAAAAAAAATAACAAAAAAGAAATATTGTGTAGCCATCAACACTGCCCAAATCTGACTCATTCTCCAGCAGTATCAACCGGAAGTGAGTAGGGAAGAGTATGTATACTAGTGTACTTTAAAGGGGGAGTGAGTAGGGAAGGGTATGTAGAGATATGCTGCTTACAAGTGTCCAGAGACAGAGAGAGACAGAGAGAGTTGAGGACGGGGGGGGGTTGGTAGAGTGAAACACTATGGTAAACAAGCAACATACACCAACACACAGTATAACACTTCCCTAGTCATTTGGACAGCCGGAGGTAGTGGATTAAAAACAACAAATATCACTACAAAGATTAGGATTATAATCTTAGATTATTTTTAGACAGGAAATAGTATCAATTATTTCATTGATCAATTGTATTAGTGCTCTAATTCTGATGTAGAAGGTTAGGTTAGCCTGGTATTAGTCAGTGGTCTTAGTGAGGGAGTACTGTAGCGCTGGGTTTCCAGTTTCTCAGTTTCCCCATCTCTAATGTGGAAACTGATGCTTGGTGAGCCATGAGGCACAAAATGGCCACCGTGCGTCACCAAACCAAGGTGGTGTCTACAGCTAGACGGTGGTGGTGGATGAGGTGATGTCATAGAGTTGGATAGAGGGCACATCTTTGCTTCTAAACCTTTGTGGAAAGTGTGACCTCTATCCACCTCTATGGGTGGTTCGCAGCAGTGGCCCTGTGAATCAGGGGTGCATTCATTCCTCCGATTCTGTTGCAAAACGCTTCTTAAAACGGAAGCAAACAGAACGAAACGGGGAGGAACCTACCTGAATTTGTCCAATAGAATCTCTCGTTTTGCTGTTTGCTTCCGATTGGTTCTTCAACGGTAAACAGTTTCCGTAATGAATACACCCCAGGTGAAGAACTAGTAGTGATGTTTAGTTATGACAGGGGACAGAGGGACAGATACAGGGGACACATGCATCTACAGGACGTGTACACACAGACACACTATGGGGACAGGACTTAAGGAGCTTGGGCTGTGGTTTCCCCAGGGGGACACGAATTAAGGACGGACATGGACAGGAAGTCACTCCGGGACTTCGCGGTAAACGCCTTCGGAACAACCAGCTTAACCAATGGCTGTACTGGAACGCTGTGCAACCGTCAGTATCGCCCGTCCACAGACTCAAGAGATACAACGTATAAAAGGAAAACCCAGCGTCAAGACACCAAGAGTCTCAAAAGAAAGAGCACGTGCAAAAAACCCATTTGTATTCCTACGAAGAGGTATACAGATATAAGAGAGCTCTTCAAGGGTTTGCTGTGCCAAACCCAGTCTCTGTACTTCTTTATTGAGAATACAGTTACACCTGATGATGCAGCGATACAGTTTGATTCAAGGAGAGGCACAAGAGGTAAAGTCTTGTACCACCAAATGGTTAGCACCACTGGCCCAGACGGATGGAATGAATAGCCTTCAGCTTGAAACTTCACCTCTGTTTTCTCCTCTTACCTAGACCTTGTGGGAACATGTTTAAAATAATTGAGCGCGTCCCAAATAGCACCCTGTTCCCTATATGGTGCACTGCTTTTGACCAGGACCCACTGGGAATAGGGTGCCATTTGAGATGCAAAACAGACTAACCAGAGTTGACATCAGAATTAGAGACCGACAAAATGGAGGGGTATTTTTTTCATCTGTGTTCTGTCAGACTAAAGACCTGTTTTGAATACAAACTATTACATTTAAAAATCCAGGCTGCCAAAATGACCTTTGCAAAGGTGTTTCGCCACTCAAAGGTGAAACACCTTCGGGGTTCGGAGGGGGCATACTGTAGTAGAGTGTGTACTAGAAAGTGTGCACTTACAAATGGTGGAGGGGAGAGGGTGTACTAGAAAGTGTGCACTTACAGAGGGTGGAGGGGAGAGGGTGTACTAGAAAGTGTGCACTTACAGAGGGTGGAGGGGATTCCCTGCCAATCAGAGGCGTGTTCTCACACCTGGGGGTCTGAAAGTTTGCATTCTGGCTCCTGCGTCACAAACGAGAGGTTACTGAGGTCACTTCCTGGTTACTGAGGTCACTTCCTGGTTACTGATGTCACTTCCTACACTACAGTCCTCCCTACCACAACTAGATTGCGTCCCAAATGATCTCTCCTTTCTCCCGAAGTGTGCACTTGTTCACTTCCTTTCACGAATATGACTGGAATATGGAAACTCCATCTGGTATTCTAGCCCAATGCCAACACCAATCAAATGCTTTTTACAGTTGTAGGGAGTAGTGGATGAGTGCACACTTCAAGAGGACGGAGTTGTGGTCGTCGTCCCCATCAGAAGCACCTTGTCTGCTGTATTATTGTCCTGGCGCTGGTTGTTGACTTGCTAGACCATTGGCCCAGTAACCAAAAGGTCAACGTGCCCTTGAGCAAGGCACTTAACCCCAATTTGCTCCAGGGGTGCCGTGCTACTATGGCCGCTGCTGTAAAACAACACATTTCACTGCACCTATCCGGTGATTGTGACAATATAACATCTTATTTTTGTATTATTATTTTTTATTATCATTTATTATTTTCTGTGTAGTTGTATCAGTGGTATACTCAATGGGATAAATGAACGCATAACTTAACTTACTTGACTATTGAAATGTATGTAGGCCTATTGATTTACTGACGTACGTTGACTGAAGTGCGTTATTTAAGAGGATGGGGATGAGAAGCATGTACTGCAGTCATCATGTGTGTGGACGAACGCTGTAAAGCCTTGTAAGCCACAACATTAAAACCATGCAGATTGATATGCGTTTCACTATATCAAAACAGTATTGGGCATCATGCTTACAATGATCCCTAACATGGTCCTTATCAGTGACATGAAGATATGGGGACTCTTTACTGAATAAAATAACTTAGGCTACTTTATATGTTTGTGAGTGTATCTGCCTTCAATGTGCAGCCTGGTGGTTACATACTACAATAGTGTCAACATCTGTCTGAGTCCATGCAGCTCAAATGATCAGTGACGGACTAGCTATCATGTGCTAGCTAATGACTGGCAGGCAATGGGTTCCCGCTAACGGCTAGTAAGCTAACTCACACCCTATAGCTGTAGCTTTACGGTAGGCCGATACCAATCAATGGCAATTGTGTGGCTAATTGGTAGCATGCAATAGCTAACTTGTATGGCAGGCAGGCAATGTGTTTCTGGTAAAGGCTAACTCAGATATGGCTAGCAGGCTAACTCACATGTAGCCTAATGTATATTGCTGAGCAGGCAGTGTAGCTTCTCAAGGGTAACTGATAGCTAACTGATAGCAGGCAGTGTTTTGTTTATGCTAGCAGGCTAACTCACTCGCTAGCGGTAATGTATGGCAGGCAATGGCGATCGCGTAGCTAACTTGAGCTTGTGTAGCAGGCAGTGTGTCGATTCTGCTAGCGGTGCTAACTGACATGTGGCTAGCAGGCTAACTCGCTAGCTAGCGATAATGTATGGCAGGCAATGGCGATCGTGTGGCTAACTTGAGCTTGTGTAGCAGGCAGTGTGTCAATTCTGCTAGCGGTGCTAACTCACGTGGCTAGCAGGCTAACTCACTCGCTAGCGGTAATGTATGGCAGGCAATGGCGATCGCGTAGCTAACTTGAGCTTGTGTAGCAGGCAGTGTGTCGATTCTGCTAGCGGTGCTAACTCACGTGGCTAGCAGGCTAACTCACTCGCTAGCTAGTGATAATGTATGGCAGGCAATGGCGATCGCGTTGCTAGCTTGAGCTTGTGTAGCAGGCAGTGTGTTGTTTTGGCTAGCGGCTACCGGTGGGGTGCTAACTCACATGTACTCAGTGACAGGGGCATTGCTGACAGTGTGGGCCGTAGCGGGGATGCTAGCTTCGCTGCCGTAGCTGCTACCACAGCTGTAGAGGCTGGGCATGTGCACGCGGTACAGGTTATCATGAGGACCCGCCCCCCGATTGCCGTGGGCGCCAGACTCGTCTTCGCCATCCTCATCATCCGTCCTTCATTGGCCAGGGCCAGGGGGGAGGGGCCGGGCGAGGTGAAGGGAGGTGAGGGTAGATGGGAGGGAGGGGGAGGGAGGGAGGGGAGATCCGAGAGAGACAGTGAGTGAGAACAGAGGAGAGAGGAGCTGATAGAGGGTCAACTCAGACTCATAGGACCCCTGGAGGAGGATAATACACACTCGGGGTGAATTTCCCCTAGGTACAGATCTAGGATCAGCTTCCCCTCACACAAACCTGACCTTAACCATTAGTGGGGAAAATGCTAAACTGACCCAAGATCAGGGTCTAGGGGCAGGTTCACACTAAACCACCTAATTTCTCTTGTATTGGTATTGTGCAACAGAGAGATGCCAGGCAAGAATAACCCCAAAACACCCCCTAAAACACCCCCACCACCACCAACCCCCAGGCACCAACCCACCCCAAAGCACAGAGGTGCACAGAGGTCACAGAACACTGTCAGGGGTCAAAGATCAGAAGTCTATTTCAGCCAATTATAGAAGGAGCCAGAGATATCATACAGCTTTCACCATCATCACCATCCTCAGTAGCAGCTTTGCCTTAGCAGCAAGGATATACAGCAAGAGGAAAGGAGCGAAGCTTAGCTTATTTAGAAAGGAATCATCTGAATCGATTCCCCTGAACTGCAGGCAATGACTGACTCCCCACAGCGAGCATTCATTTCAAGCTATTTGATTCATGCATCTGAACTCTTGAGTGCACCATAAATAATACAAATTCATACAAAATGTCCGAAAAAAAAACGAATCAGGTAAGAAAAAAATGGCCGCAGTTGGTAAACCATTTTCTGCTGTGACATACAATGATAAAAAAACGTATAACGATTGTCAACGGAAAATATGGAAATAATCAGATAGGACGTGTGCTTATTGGGAAGGTGGTGGAGTACAGGTCAACTAAACAGGATATAAACTATGTTTGTAGAACTTTAGATTGGTCATTAGATTGAATGGGCTGTGAAGAGGCCAGCACTGGTTTAAGGAGAAGCTTCAACTGCTATCGCTTTAGACCACCAGGGGGCAGCAGTACTATTTCATAAGGTTCTACTGCTGTCACACTCACATAAAGAGCTGTACACAACTCATCCACACACACACACAACTCATCCACACACACACACACACACACACACACAACTCATCCACACACACACACACACACACAACACACACACCTCATCCACACACACAACAAACTCATCCACACACACACACACACACACACACACACACACACACAACTCATCCACACACACACACAAACTCATCCACACACAACACACAACTCATCCACACACACACACACCACAACACACACAAACTCATCCACACACACAACTCATCCACACACACACACACAACTCATCCACACACACAACTCATCCACACACACAACTCATCCACACAAAAAGGGCTCAAAAACCAGTCCTTATATGAAGCACTCTGCCAGTGGCTCTCCTCTAGATGATAGAAACATCAGGTGTAGGTCGATGCGGGGGTAGATAGAATCTCTGTCACTAGAGATGTCAATTGAGAAGTCAATGTATAGTCCAAAATATACGCCATGGGCCAAACCGTCAATGACCCTTTATCTATATGATATGATCCGTGTTCCCATCAACTGTTACTGACGATTCCATCGTCCCGATTCCGAGTCACAGGTTTTCCGAATCAGAACATTGGAAGGAGAAAGGAGGACGAGGAGGAGGAGGAGAAACAGAAGGAGGGGGGACAGAAAATAACGGTGTTGAACCAACTAGAAGATGTGAAAGAAAACTGGGAGACAGGTGTATACAGGCAGACCGACGACAGTCTGACAGACAAACAGACAGATGCACTAGACTAAACATGAAGGCTGTGTACAGTAGTAGTAGTAGTAGTAGTAGCAGTAGTAGTAGTAGTAGTAGTAGTAGTAGTAGTAGTAGTAGTAGTAGTAGTATTAGTAGTAGTAAGATCTGATCAGTGTCTTAGCAGGGAATGGGCCAGATGTGTGTGTTCAGGTGTTTGTGTTGTGTGTGTGTGTTCAGGTGTGTGTTCGGGTGTGTTACCTCTTGCTCTGCCAGGTGTGCGGCACACTGCAGACGATGGAGGAGAACATGAGAGCCGTGATGAAGGAGAACAGCACCAGGTAGATCAGCCCTTCCACTCCATCATAACACAACCCTGTTAGAGCCTGGACATAGTCCTGGAACACAACACAGCAACACAGTTTATAACACAACCCTGTTAGATCCTGGACATAGTCCTGGAACACTACAATATAACACCACCCTGTTAGATCCTGGACATAGTCCTGGAACACTACAATATAACACCACCCTGTTAGATCCTGGACATAGTCCTGGAACACTACAATATAACACCACCCTGTTTAGAGCCTGGCACATTAGTCCTGGAAACACTTACAATATTCACACCACACCCTGTGTAGATCCTGGGACATAGTCCTTGGAGGAGAGGAGGAGGAACAACAGAGAGGGAGAGGAGAGGAGAGGAGAGGAGAGTAGAGGAGGAAGGAGAGGAGAGGAGAGGAGGAGGAGAGGAGAGGAGAGGAGAGGAGAGGAGAGGAGAGGAAGAGAGAAGAGGATAAGAGAAGTGAAGTGAAGAAGAGAGAAGGGAGGAAGAGGATAAGAGAAGTGAATAAGTGAGAAGTGGAGAGGAGAGAAGAGCAGTAGTGAGTCATATTGTCCTATGAGGGTTGTTGTCAGTTGTTTGATTTGAGGAAAGAGACAGCTTGGTGGTTTGAGATCTCCCTGGTAACAACTCTTACTCATCACAACAGTCACGACAACACCGTTTGAAAATGGCCACCGTTGACAAGCATCAAGGTGTAATGGAGGTGGGATTTAAAAAGCTTTTTCTTTCTGGACTTCAAGAAGAGGGAAATCACTGTCATTTTCATGAAGGGTGAGATGAGAGAGAGAGAAGAGAAGGAGAGAGAGAGAGGAGAGATCGGAGATGAGAAGAGAGAAGAGAGAGATGATGCATAGAGATCTAGAGAGAGCAGAGACAGAGATATGAGAGAGAGAGATATCTAGAGTATAGCTAGGAGATGGAATAGCTCAGAGCTCCGAACGAGCGATCGAATGAACGACCGATGAGATCGTATCTGAGAAGCAGCTAGCGATACGACATCGAAGCAGCACGCGAAAGTGCGGAGATAGAGTGAGGGGGCGTAGACTCCTAGCAGTGAGAGCCGCTCCAGAGGTAGAGAGAGAGATGAACCCCGGATCAGTAGCTACCCCCATCGATAAATAATGAACAGTTATGAACAGGGGGAGGGAGGGGGTGATATATTGATTTATTTTGAAGTAGAGGCGCTCCTCCCCTGTATCTCACCATGTGCAGGCTGCGACAGTCGACTAGAGCGGTGAGTTGATGAAGGCCAACCTCAGTAGAGTTCAATACGGTCTGGATCTGTTCCAGATTCCCCTAGGGAGCCACAGCAGAGGTTACACTCTCACAGACACATACACACGCACCGAAAGCACACACGCATGAACACCCGCACACACACACCCCCCTACCTTGGTGTTGGGGTAATCCCGTATAGCTGATTGTAGTAGTTCTGCCACGTCATCTTGCATCTCAACCAGGGCTTTGTGACTGCCAGACAGCTTCTGCAAAACACACACACACACAGGACGTCAGTACAGCCCTTCATTCTTCCTGATTAGAATGTGTGTGTGGAGGAGGCGGAGTCGTACCTGCTGGAAAGGATTTGATTGGCCACTGCTGCACCTCAGGTAATACTGCAGGATATCTGAGAGGAAAAACAGACGCATATCGACATTCAATAATGTATTTATTTAACCCACTATTGAATCAGATCAAATGGAATAAATTCTTATTTACAACGATCCCTAAAGACGATAATGTATAATGAAGATGATAGAGTATGGTAATGAGGAGAAACACAGTCTATATAAGGACGCTCAAACAATCAGACACACTACCGGTCAAAAGTTTGGACACACCTTCTCATTCAAGGGGTTTTTCTTTATTTTTTTTACGATTTTCTACATCGTAGGATAATAGTGAAGACAGCAAAACTATGAAAATAACATGTATGGAATCATGTAGTAACCAAAAAAAGTGTTAAACAAATCAAAATATATATTTACCTCATGAAGCTGGTTGAGAGAATGCCGAGAGTGTGCAAAGCTGTCATCAAGGTAAAGGGTGGCTATTTGAAGAATCTCAAATATAAATATATTTTAATTTGTTTAACACTTTTTTGGTTACTACATGATTCCATATGTGTTATTTCATAGTTTTGATGTCTATTATTCTACAATGTAGAAAATAGTAAAAATAAAGAAAAACTCTGGAATGAGTAGGTGTGTCCAAACTTTTGACTGGTACTACATTTTACATTTACATTTTAGTCATTTAGCAGACGCTCTTATCCAGAGCGACTTACAGTTAGTGCATACATTTTTTATTTTATTTTTATGTTTCATACTGGCCCCCCGTGGGAATTGAACCCACAACCCTGGCGTTGCAAACGCCATGCTCTACCAACTGAGCTACATCCCTGCTGAGCTACATATATATATATATATATAGATAGTACCAGTCAAAAGTTTGGACACACCTACTATGTACCACATATACACACAGTTGAAGTCGGAAGAACATACACCTTAGCGAAATACATTTAAACTCAGTTTTTCACAATTCCTGACATTTAATCCTAGTAAAAATTCCATGTCTTAGGTCAGTTAGGATCACCACTTTATTTTAAGAATGTGAAATGTCAGAATAATATTAGAGAGAATGATTTATTTAAGCTTTTATTTCTTTCATCACATTCCCAGTGGGTCAGAAGTTTACATACACTAAATTAGAATTTGGTAGCATTGCCTTTAAATTGTTTAACTTGGGTCAAACGTTTCGGGTAGCCTTCCACAAGCTTCCCACAATAGGTTGGGTGAATTTTGGCCCATTCCTCCTGACAGAGCTGGTGTAACTGAGTCAGGTTTGTAGTCCTCCTTGCTCACACACGCTTTTTCAGTTCTGCCCACACATTTTCTATAGGATTGAGGTCAGAGCTTTGTGATGGCCACTCCAATACCTTGACTTTGTTGTCCTTAAGCCATTTTGCCACAACTTTGGAAGTATGCTTGGGGTCATTGTCCATTTGGAAGACCCATTTGTGACCAAGCTTTAACTTCCTGACTGATGTTTTGAGATGTTGCTTCAATATATCCACAATTTTCCTTCATCATGATGCCATCTATTTTGTGAAGTGCACCAGTCCCTCCTGCAGCAAAGCACCTCCACAGCATGATGCTGCCACCCCCGTGCTTCACGGTTGGGATGGTTTTCTTCAGCTTGCAAGCGTCACCCTTTTTCCTCCAAACATAACGATGGTCATTATGGCCAAACAGTTCTATTTTTGTTTCATCAGACCAGAGGACATTTCTCAAAAAAGTATGATCTTTGTCCCCATGTGCAGTTGCAAACCGTAGTCTGGCTTTTTAATGACGGTTTTGGAGCAGTGGCTTCTTCCTTGCTGAGCGGCCTTTCAGGTTATGTCGATATAGGACTCGTTTTACTGTGGATATAGATACTTTTGTATCTGTTTCCTCCAGCATCTTCACAAGGTCCTTTGCTATTGTTCTGGGATTGATTTGCACTTTTCGCACCAAAGTATGTTCATCTCTAGGAGACAGAACGCGTCTCCTTCCTGAGCGGTATGACGGCTGCGTGGTCCCATGGTGTTTATACTTGCGTACTATTGTTTGTACAGATGAACGTGGTACCTTCAGGCGTTTGGAAATTGCTCCCAAGGATGAACCAGACTTGTGGAGGTCTACAAATTGTTTTCTGAGGTCTTGGCTGATTTCTTTTGATTTTCCCATGATGTCAAGCAAAGAGACACTGAGTTTGAAGGTAGGCCTTGAAATATATCAACAGGTACACCTCCAATTGACTCAAATGATGTCAATTAGCCTATCAGAAGCTTCTAAACCCATGACATCATTTTCTGGAATTTTCCAAGCCATTTAAAGGCATAGTCAAGTTAGTGTATGTAAACTTCTGACCCACTGGAATTGTGATACAGTGAATTATAAGTGAAATAATGTATCTGTAAACAATTGTTGGAAAAATTACTTGTGTCATGCACAAAGTAGATGTCCTAACCAACTTGCCAAAACTATAGTTTGTTAACAAGACATTTGTGGAGTGGTTGAAAAACGAGTTATAATGCATCAGTAAATGCATCAGTAAATGATTAAAACTCAGACTGATAAGGAACAAACAAACATGAACTGAAACAGGCTGCTGAGCAAGACTATCAACCCCAATGTAAACACCCAACCCAACCCAACCCAACCCAACCCACAAGGGCTTCTGTTAGCCGGTAATAGCCGGCTTTTGGCTGATTAAAAAAAAAAAAAAACGATAAATAAAACTGGCCAATTGTCTGGGAGAAGAAGAAAAAAAAGCCATTGTAAAATACTAATACTAATAATAATACTAATACATTTTACTAATACTAATAATACTACTAATACTAATAAATAATACTAAAATGAATAATACTAATAATAATAAGGAGAGAGGAGGGTAGAATAATGAGATAAGCTCACTCTGGACAGACTGACTGCATTAATAATACGGAGGTCGGTAATAAGACGGAGGTCGGTAATAAGACGGAGGTCGGTAATAAGACGGAGGTCGGTAATAATACTGAGGTCGGTAATAAGACGGAGGTCGGTAATAAGACGGAGGTCGATAATAAGACGGAGGTAGATAATAAGACGGAGGTCGATAATAAGACGGAGGTAGATAATAAGACGGAGGTCGATAATAAGACGGAGGTAGATAATAAGACGGAGGTCGATAATAAGACGGAGGTAGATAATAAGACGGAGGTCGATAATAAGACGGAGGTAGATAATAAGACGGAGGTCGATAATAAGACAATAGCTTGAATGAAAAGATGAAGGATACACACACACACAGTCAGGAGAGAGAAGAGTTGCTGGAGCGTTAAACAGCCACAGAGAGATAGGGCTTTCAGATAGCAAACTGTCAATCATATATATTCCCCAGTGGAACACACACAGTGGTGAGATCAGAGTCAGGGTGAAGGTTGATGGACCCCAGAGGACAGAGATGCATCCATCACTTCCCCCTGTACTTCAGTCCCTTTCTCCATCTATCTTTCAGTCTCCAACTCCTTCCATCCATCCATCACTTCCCCCTGTCCTTCAGTCCCTTTCTCCATCTATCTTTCAGTCTCCAACTCCTTCCATCCAGCTTGGTCCTTCCCTCGTTCCCCTACCTTGGTTGATGACAGCGTTCTCCTTGGTTACCCTGGTGATGTAAGTATCCGGGGAAACGCAGAAGTCGCTGGCCGTCTGTGAAGGAGAGGCCATATGACCATCGGACAACCACAATACAGCCACACACAACATAACCACTAAAAAAAATCACAACATAACCACAACACAATCACAACATTACCACAAAACAATCACAACATAACCACAACACAACCACAACCAAACATACAGTACAGATCAAATTGAAAGTAAGGTATCTTAGATCTTAAGGGTGATTGTCACTTGGATTGACTTTACATATTAATTATCTGCACTACTTTGTCTAAGCCAATAGAAATCCAGTGAAATTATGTAATGTCAAAATAAACTGCCGTTGTCCTAGCGACACGTTTCCATGGAGACACTCACCGCGGCAGCTGCCAGCTCCAGTCCCAGAGACCCCCAGCTGATGACGAGAGTCAGAACACCCAACAAACACACCCTGAGAGAGAGAGAGAGAGAGGGGAGAGGGGAGAGAGAGAGGGGAGAGAGAGAGAGGGGAGAAAGGGTGGGAGTGGGGAGAGGAGAGGCTGAATGGAATATAGTTGTGTTTGATAGGGATAGAAGGGAGAGTGTATATCGCGATTCTCTACTCTCTCTCGCTCTTCGCTCGATCTCTCTCGGCTAGCTCTCTCTCGTCTCTCGGCTCTTTTTTTCTCTTCCTCTGCTTTTCTCTCTTTTCTCGCGCTTCTTTGTTTCTCTCTCTTTTTCTCTTCTCTCTCTCTTTCTCCTTATTCTCTCTCTTTCCTTCCCCTGTCCTCTGTTTCTCCCTCTGTGACTCTCTGCTTATGTGTTTTATTCCCCTCTCTCTGGGTTCTTCGTTTGATCCGCATGTTCACCCTGTCATATCTCCCGATGGTGTTAATTGTGTCTCTCACTCCCCTCTTCATCTCTCGCTCTTCCTCTCTCTCCCTCTCTCTCTCTCTCTCTCTTCTCTCTCCACCTTCTCTCTCTCTTCTTCTTCTCTCCTCTCTCTCTCTCTTTTCCTCCACCCCGACCTCTCTTTCACTCCACTGCTTCTCTTTCTACCACTCGTCTCGTCACCTTAACAGCCATCCTCGTCTTTCTCCCCTGCCGGTTAGCGTCTTCTACCCCCACCATCCTCGTCTTTACCTTTGTTCTCCTCAATCCTCTTGACCTCCCTCCTCTCTCATCTCTCCTCTCTCTCTCTTTCCACTCCCCTTCTCACTCTCTCTCCACTCCTTTTCTTTTCCCCTTCTTGTTGCTCCTCTCACCAGCTCCTCTCTCCCCTTCCTCTCCCCCTCCTACCATCTCCCTCTCTCTCCTCCCTTCTCTCTCTCTCCACCACTCCTCTCTCCCCCTTCCTCTCTCTCTCTACCAGCTCCTCTCTCCCCCTTCTCTCTTCTACCAGCTCCTCTCTCCCCCTCTCTCTCTACCAGCTCCTCTCTCCCCTTCTCTCGCTCTACCAGCTCCTCTCTCCCCTTCTCTCTCTCTCTACCAGCTCCTCTCTCCCCTTCTTTGTCTCTCTCTACCAGCTCCTCTCCCCCCTTCTCTCTCTCTCTTTACCAGCTCCTCTCTCCCCTCTCTCTCTCTCTCTACCAGCTCCTCTCTCCCTCTCTCTCTCCTCTCTACCAGCTACTCTCTCCCCTTCTCTCTCATATTCTTGTCCCCTCTAACTAGTAACTATTTTCTACTCATTTTCCTTCTCCCTGTCCTCATTCAATTCTCTCTCTCAGACCTATCTCTTTCCCTCCATCCCATCTTTCTGGTAGCCAATCAGAGTTCTCTGTGGTCGTCATGTGGTGTGGCTCACCCAATCAGAGTGCCTTTAGAGTTGCGTATCAGTCCGAACAGAACCAGCAGACAAATCAGAACATCAAAGAGCAGCAGAGTCAGGTACACCAGCCACCTGGAAATATATAAAACACAATATATAACACAATACAGTGCATTTGAAAAGGATTTCAGACCCCCTTGACTTTTCCCACATTATGTTACAGCCTTATTCTAAAATGGATTAAATTAATTATTTTCCTCATAAATCTACACCCAAATACCCCATAACGACAAAGCGAAAACAGGTTTTTAGATATTTTTGCAAATGTATTAAAAATAAAGAACAGAAATACCTTCTTTACATAAGTATTCAGACCCTTTGCTATGAGACTCGAAATTGAGCTTCCTGTTTCCATTGATCATCCTTGAGATGTTTCTACAACTTGATTGGAGTCCACCTGTGGTAAATTCAACTGATTGGACATGATTTGGAAAGGCACACACCTGTCTATATACAGTCCCACAGTTGACAGTGCATGTCAGAGCAAAAACCAAGCCATGAGGTCGAAGGAATTGTCCATAGAGCTCCGAGACAGGATTGTGTTGAGGCACAGATCTGGGGAAGGGTACCAAAACATTTCTGCAGCATTGAAGGTCCCCAAAAACACAGTGGCCTCCATCATTCTTAAATGGAAGAAGTTTGGAACCACCAAGACTCTTCCTAGAGCTGGCCGCCCGGCCAAACTGAGCAATTGGGGGAGAAGGGCCTTGGTAAGGGAGGTGACCAAGAACCCGATGGTCACTCTGACAGAGCTCCAGAGTTCGTCTGTGGAGATGGGAGAACCTTCCAGAAGGACAACCATTTCTGCAGCACTCCACCAATCAGGCCTTTATGGTAGAGTGGCCAGACGGAAGCCACTCCTCAGTAAAAGACACATGACAGCCTGCTTGGAGTTTGCCAAAAGGCACCTAAAGACTCTCAGACCATGAGAAACAAGATTATCTGGTCTGATGACCAGTGAAGCATGGTGGTGGCAGCATCATGCTGTGGGGATGTTTTTAAGCGGCAGGGACTGGGAGACTAATCAGGATCGAGGCAAAGATGAACGGAGCAAAGTACAGAGAGATCCTTGATGAAAACCTGCTCCAGAGCGCTCAGGACCCAGACTGGGGCTGAAGGTTCACCTTCCAACAGGACAACGATCCTAAGCACACAGCCAAGACAACGCAGGAGTGGCTTCGGGACAAGTCTCTGAATGCCCTTGAGTGTCACAGCCAGAGCCCGGACTTGAACCCGATCGAACATCTCTGGAGAGACCTGAAAATAGCTGTGCAGCAACGCTCCCCATCCAACCTGACAGAGCTTGAGAGGATCTGCAGAGAAGAATGGGAGAAACTCCTCAAATACAGGTGTGCCAAGCTTGTAGCGTCATACCCAAGAAGACTCGAGGCTGTAAATGCTGCCAAAGGTGCTTCAACAAAGTACTGAGTAAAGGGTCTGAATACTTATGTAAATGTGATATTTCAGGTTAATCTTTTAAATAAATTAGCAAAAATGTATAAAACCTGTTTCTGCTTTGTCATTATGGGGTATTGTCTGTAGATTGATGAGGGAAACAAACTATTTAATACATTTTAGAATCAGGCTGTAACGTAACAAAATGTTAAAAAAGTCAAGGGGTCTGAATACTTTCCGAATGCACCATATAACACAATATATAGCAGAGTCAGGTTCACCAGCCACCTGGAAATAAATAACACAATATATAACACAGAGGCAGGTCTTCAGTTACCCCAGAAGATATAACTATAATACTAAACATATACAGTGGGGAAAAAAAGTATTTAGTCAGCCACCAATTGAGCAAGTTCTCCCACTTAAAAAGATGAGAGAGGCCTTTAATTTTAATCATAGGTACACGTCAACTATGACAGACAAAATGAGAATTTTTTTTCCAGAAAATCACATTGTAGGATTTTTTATGAATTTATTTGCAAATTATGGTGGAAAATAAGTATTTGGTCAATAACAAAAGTTTCTCAATACTTTGTTATATACCCTTTGTTGGCAATGACACAGGTCAAATGTTTTCTGTAAGTCTTCACAAGGTTTTCACACACTGTTGCTGGTATTTTGGCCCATTCCTCCATGCAGATCTCCTCTAGAGCAGTGATGTTTTGGGGCTGTCGCTGGGCAACACAGACTTTCAACTCCCTCCAAAGATTTTCTATGGGGTTGAGATCTGGAGACTGGCTAGGCCACTCCAGGACCTTGAAATGCTTCTTACGAAGCCACTCCTTCGTTGCCCGGGCGGTGTGTTTGGGATCATTGTCATGCTGAAAGACCCAGCCACTTTCATCTTCAATGCCCTTGCTGATGGAAGGAGGTTTTCACTCAAAATCTCACGATACATGGCCCCATTCAGTCTTTCCTTTACACGGATCAGTCGTCCTGGTCCCTTTGCAGAAAAACAGCCCCAAAGCATGATGTTTCCACACCCATGCTTCACAGTAGGTATGGTGTTCTTTGGATGCAACTCAGCATTCTTTGTCCTCCAAACACGACGAGTTGAGTTTTTACCAAACAGTTCTATTTTGGTTTCATCTGACCATATGACATTCTCCCAATCCTCTTCTGGATCATCCAAATGCACTCTAGCAAACTTCAGACGGGCCTGGACATGTACTGGCTTAAGCAGGGGGACACGTCTTGCACTGCAGGATTTGAGTCCCTGGCGGCGTAGTGTGTTACTGATGGTAGGCTTTGTTACTTTGGTCCCAGCTCTCTGCAGGTCATTCACTAGGTCCCCCCGTGTGGTTCTGGGATTTTTGCTCACCGCTCTTGTGATCATTTTGACCCCACAGGGTGAGATCTTGCGTGGAGCCCCAGATCGAGGGAGATTATCAGTGGTCTTGTATGTCTTCCATTTCCTAATAATTGCTCCCACAGTTGATTTCTTCAAACCAAGCTGCTTACCTATTGCAGATTCAGTCTTCCCAGCCTGGTGCAGGTCTACAATTTTGTTTCTGGTGTCCTTTGACAGCTCTTTGGTCTTGGCCATAGTGGAGTTTGGAGTGTGACTGTTTGAGGTTGTGGACAGGTGTCTTTTATACTGATAACTAGTTCAAACAGGTGCCATTAATACAGGTAACGAGTGGAGGACAGAGGAGCCTCTTAAAGAAGAAGTTGCAGGTCTTTGAGAGCCAGAAATCTTGCTTGTTTGTAGGTGACCAAATACTTATTTTCCACCATAATTTGCAAATAAATTCATTACAAATCCTACAATGTGATTTTCTGGAAAAAAAATGCTCAATTTGTCTGTCATAGTTGACGTGTACCTATGATGAAAATTACAGGCCTCTCTCATCTTTTTAAGTGGGAGAACTTGCACAATTGGTGGCTGACTAAAAACTTTTTCCCCCACTGTATACTACCTTTAAACAGCTCTAACCCACCTGTACCAGTCAAAGGCTTCAGTCTTGATGGCCAGGTCCTCCAGTGAGATATCAGAGGTACTCCAGAAGGGTATGTCCACCATCAGTCTAACCAGTTCATCCAGCTGACCCTGTAGCTTCTGGACGATGGACACATAGTCAGTCTGTTCAGAGTAGGCCGTCTCCAACTGGACCAGACCTCCCTCCACTGTCTGGTTCAGAGACAGGGCACTGTCCGCCACCTAGAGAGAGAGAGAGAGACAGACAGACACACATTTGTGAGTGTTTTTTTGGAATCTTGAAGGTCTTGAAAGGAAGGGTGAAAGTGGAGGGATGTTAGCGCTCTGTGTGGTAGGGTGAAAGTGGAGGGATGTTAGCGCTCTGTGTGGTAGGGTGAAAGTGGAGGGATGTTAGCGCTCTGTGTGGTAGGGTGAAAGTGGAGGGATGTTAGCGCTCTGTGTGGTTATTGTGTGTGTTTGTCCCACCAGTTTGCCGACCCCTGCCACGGTGCGGTTGGCGTGCCGTAGAGAATACACCAGGCGGTTGGCTCCGTCACATGACTCCCCGTTTCCATAGAAACCCACGGCGATGCCGGCACTGCGGAAGAGACAGGAAGCAGGAAGTGTTATCTCATCGCCCGATATCACAGGAAGTGTTATCTCATTGGCGATATCACAGGAAGTGTTATCTCATTGGCGATATCACACACACAGACCCAGTCAAGCTGCTGCTGTGTGTTTGCTGTTCCATCTCCCCACCAGCAGGAGACAGACAGACAGACAGACAGACAGACAGACAGACAGAGAGACAGTCAGAGAGACAGACAGACAGACAGACAGACAGACAGACAGACAGACAGTCAGAGAGACACGACAGAGAGACCCGACAGAGAGACCCGACAGACAGACAGACAGACAGACAGACAGTCAGAGAGACAGACAGACAGACAGACAGACAGACAGACAGACAGACAGACAGACAGACAGACAGACAGACAGACAGACAGACAGACAGACAGACAGACAGACAGACAGACAGACAGACAGACAGACAGACAGACAGACAGACAGACAGACAGACAGACAGACAGACAGACAGACAGACAGACAGACAGACAGACAGACAGACAGACAGACGGACAGGACAGGACAGGACAGGACAGGACAGGACAGACAGGACAGACAGGACAGACAGACAGACAGACACAGCTATGACCCCATTCTCTCCCTACACCTATAGGACTACCAGGAACCACACACACACTATGGCTGGACAATGGCCAGGTCGCCAGACCGCACATAATGTGATTATTCTGCATCTCTGGCTCCGACACACACACACACACACACACGGGCACCCCCTTCTCTCCCTCCCTCCATCCTGTGCCCCTCTTTTCTCCCGCTGGCCCCTTCTCCCCCCTCTCTCTAAACAGCAGCCTCACTCACATGGACTAACGCACAGACACACTGTGGAGGGAGGGTGATCATCCCCACTAACCACTCCTCTGTCTGTCTCAGTCTGTCATGAGGTCTTGTGTAGGCTAACTGTCCAACACACATTTATACTGGACAATTTATAACCATCATTATAGCACTTTATTGTACACCATTAACTACAGTACCCCCCTGTTAAACCCTGTCCGTGTGTGTTGTGTCCAACCATTAAGAGCTCTGTCGTTTAATCAGAGGGGGGGAGGGAGGGAGGGAGGGAGGAGGGAGGGGAGGAGGGAGGGGTTGGGCGTGATTGGTGAGAGTAGGGGAGCAAACCGTGTGTATGCTAGATAATGGAAGGAATGGGGAGGGAGACTCAAACAAATCTCCTCTATCCCCTCTGTCTTTCCTTAGCTCTCTCTCCTCCCTCTCCCTTCTCTCTTTATCTCACTCCTTCTATCTCCTCTCGTCTTATCATCTCTCCTTGAATGCTCTCTCTTCTCTCTACTCGGAGAGAGAGAGGACGGGGGAGAGAGAAAGAGAGAGAGAAGAGAAATGGAGAGAGAGAGAGAGAGAGAGAGAGACAGAAGGATAAGTAAAAGCTTGTTCTCTCACTCTGTGAGGTCAGTGCCACTGTTGCCTCAGAAACAGTGACAGAGGAGTACGTAGTGAGTGTACAAAACACCAGGAGGAACATGACTGACCAGGTGAATTCAGGTGAAAGATATGATCCCTTATTGAATCCACTTCCATCCGTGTAGATGAAGGGGAGGAGACAGGTTAAAGAAGGATTTTTAAGCCTTGAGACATGGATTGTGTACAGTGGGGGAAAAAAAGTATTTAGTCAGCCACCAATTGTGCAAGTTCTCCCACTTAAAAAGATGAGAGAGGCCTGTAATTTTCATCATAGGTACACGTCAACAATTGGTGGCTGACTAAATACTTTTTTCCCCCACTGTATGTGTGCCATTCAGAGGGTGAATGGGCAAGACAAAAGATTGAAGTGCCTTTGAACGGGGTATGGTAGAAGGTGCCAGGCGCATCGGTTTGTGTCAAGAATTGCAACGCTGCTGGGTTTTTCACGCTCAACAGTTTCCCGTGTGTATGCTGTGTTATGCTTCCTCTCCAAACTTCACATCCCATCTCAAAAACATCTCAGTAAAGTAAAGAAAATACTCGGACAAGAAGAATATAGATTTAAGTAAAAAAAAAAAAATCACAATATCAAACAATTCCTCTGATCAGAATTGGATCAGAGGCCAACATCGGAATTATTTTCAAATCTATTTTTCCATGTACATAAATAAAAAAGCCTAGATGTCAAAGTGAAAATGATCTGCATATTGACTAAAACCTCATGTCCAAACCCATGCTGACATGAGGGAGTCGCCAGAAAACGGAGCCAAACTTGAATGAGTTTTAAATACATAAACATAGGCTTAACGCCAGTCATGTTTGACAAATATAATGAAGGATAATTAACATTAAACGTCTAAAGGCTTGATTCTCGAGGCACGGTTCATTCGGATCAAATGGTCAGAAGACCGGAGAGTGAAGGACAGTGCCTGTTGAGCACCGCACATCACCCACCTTGAATCTGAGCGGAGGCGGTCAGCATTTTGAAACTATTTAACCATAAACTTAATTGTTTAAAACATGTCTTACCTTGTTTCAATGTAGCCAAAATATGACCATAAAAATGTTGAGGGAATTATTTCATAAACACTTAATATAATACAATAATATATAATATAATATTTAATATGCCATTTAGCAGACGCTTTTATCCAAAGCGACTTAGAGTCATGCGTGCATACAATTTTTGTGTATGGGTGGTCCCGGGGATCGAACCCACTACCTTGGCGTTACAAACGCTGTGCTCTACCAGCTGAGCTACAGAGGACCACTTAATATGCCATTGAAACCAGCATGTTTCTCATGTTCTATTGGTTTTCAAATCAACGTTATTTTATTGTCCAGCAGGCATAATCCTCGTCATAATAGCCAACCCCTAGTTAGTAGATGCATCTTTAGATCTCCCCTTTCTTCATTTTCCAATGGATATTTTAATCTCTGCCACATGAAACCGCTCATGTGTGCGGTGCGCTTTTGAGAACAGTGTTTTCCCGCCAACTGCATTTTGGAACATTTGTGCACAGCCTACAGCCACGTGTGCATTGTTGAGCTTATAATATGAAGAAAAAAACAACTTTATCAACATTTTAAGCTAAACGGTCTGATCAGTTGCATCAGCCTCATTGCTTATTTATTTATTTATTTATTTATTATGTGCAGTGGTTGTATGAATTTAGGATCTGTCATCCCAGAGTCGGTCTTAAACCGTATACATATTTTGTATCATCCCATTGGACGACAGGGCGCCCTTAATTTCTAGCCCTGGAGGGGAAATTATTTTATAAAGACATAAAAATGATTTGGTTGTAACTGTAATGTTGCAATATTTTGTAGGCTACCAAGGGTGACCAACCATCCTCCAGAAGAGCCTTAAAAGGGGCAGTGATGTATTTTGAGACAGGCTTGAATATGCAAAGAAGCCAATACGCTACATTGTTGTCTGATTCTCTATGGTAAAAAAATATAGTAATGCATTTATTTTGTAAAGTGGTTCCTTGCATCATACAATGATGTAAAAATTGTGCTACAGACCTTTTTTTGGGGGGGGGGGAGCGACGACAAGTGACGAGCTATGGACAAGTAAAAAAATCTATCCTACTTGAACCAAAAATGTCAAGCCCTACATATAATTAGTTAGCCCATGGGACCGTTACAGTCATAGGCCTATAGAGACTTATAGAGACTTACAGAGTCAATCTATCCTGTCTTCAAATGACAGTGATTCCATGTGATTGGTCACATGGGCCCAGAAAGACCCGGTAAACAACCCCCACGGCAACCAACTAACAACAAATATCGGAAGAAGGAGACAGACATCCAGAGAGAGAGACAGACAGACATCCAGAGAGAGAGACAGACAGACACCCAGAGAGAGAGACAGACAGACATCCAGAGAGAGGCAGACAGACATCCAGAGAGAGACAGACAGACATCCAGAGAGAGGCAGACAGACATCCAGAGAGAGAGACAGACAGACACCCAGAGAGAGACAGAGCGAGAAAGAGCTCGATATCAAATATTTAACATCAACTATTACAGTTAATCATAAAATATTTAAACCTGCAAAACACATCTCTACCACTGAGTCACCAGTCACACTCACACACACACACACACACACACACACACACACACACACACACACAGCTCCCTGTCTCTTCACTATATAATTAATCTGCCATCTCTGCATTAAATCTGCTGCTGTCTCCATGGCAACCTTTCTAGGCCAGAGAGAACAGAGACAGAACGATACAGAGAAATAAAGAGAGAGAGACAGGGAGAAAGAAAGAGGGAGAGAGAGAGAGCGAGAGAGAGAGAGAGCGAGAGAGACAGAGAGAGAGAGAGAGAGAGAGAGGGAGAGAGAGAGAGAGAGAGAGCAGCAGAGTGCAGTGTTTGATATGTGTTTGCCAAGGGAGATGCAAGTCAGTGTAGAAGGGTGTGACGATAACGTGCTTGTGTGTGTGTGTGTGTGGTGTGTGTGTGTTGTTTGTGTGTGTGTGTGTGAGTGAGTGAGTGTGTGCGCGTGTGAACACCAGCCAGCCAAAGGGTCCAATATGACCTAAATCATCTATTTCAGAAACACTGGGCTAATCTGACATCACACTGTTTCACATTATCACACTGTTTCACACGGAACAGACAGAATACACTTGTTTATCTGAGAGAGAGGGATGGGGGGAGAGGGGGGGGGGGCGACAGAGAGAGAGAGCGAGAGAGAGAGGTGGGGGGGGGGGGGGGGGGGGGAGAACCTAAACAAGTCACTGCAGATTCTCTCTCACTCCCCTCCTGGCCCTGTTACTATGGTTACAGGGTCAACGACCTGGTGTAGAAACGGTTCTATAAACACTGAAATTCCAGGGATTTTCCCCAAAATACGGAACTGATTACCTAACAGTATACTGTACCGATCAGCAGTTTTCAGCTTCCAACTGTGCTACTGAAACTGGGCCAGTTCCTCCAAATTCCAGATCATTTTCATGGACATTTCTTTCTGCAGTACAGTACAGGCTATGTCCCCCAAGGCCTTTAAAGGTTTAAACAGATTTACCCCCAAAAATACACTTACGCTTTTTAGTTTAGATGTAGAGGCCTTTGAAGCAAACACACAACAGAGACACAACAGAGACACACACAGAGACACAGAGCACAAGAGAGAGAGAGAAGAGAGAGAGGGGAAGAGACGAGAGAGAGACAGAGAGAGAGACAGAGAGAGAGAGAGAGAGAGACACACACACTATCTTTAACAGATATGACTTCACCAGTCTTCTCTGAAGTCCTCTTCAATCATATTCAGACTCTGTCCCTCCTCTCCCTCCGCTCTACCTCCATCCTTCTCTCCCTCTCCATACGTCTCTCTCCATACGTCTCTCTCCATACGTCTCTCTCCATACGTCTCTCTCCATACGTCTCTCTCCATACGTCTCTCTCCATACGTCTCTCTCACCATCTCTCTCTAACGTCTCTCTCCATACATCTCTCTCCATACATCTCTCTCTCTATACGTCTCTCTCCATACGTCTCTCTCCATACGTCTCTCTCCATACATCTCTCTCCATACATCTCTCTCCATACATCTCTCTCCATACGTTAATTGATCTATAGTATAGTGATCTATCGTCTAGTGATCTATAGTATAGTATCTACAGTATAGTGCTCTATAGTATAGTGTCTATCGTATAAGTGATCTATAGGCATAGTGATCTCCAGTATAGTGATCTATGTATCGTGATCCTACAGGTATAGTGATCTCTAGTATAGTGATCTACAGTATAGTGATTCTATAGTATAGTGATCTATAGTATAGTGATCTATAGTATTAGGTGATCTACAGTATAGTGATCACAGTATAGTGATCTACAGTATAGTGATCAATAGTATAGTGATCTACAGTATAGTGATCTATAGTATAGTGATCTATAGTATAGTGATCTACAGTATAGTGATCTACAGTATAGTGATCTATAGTATAGTGATCTACAGTATAGTGATCTATAGTATAGTGATCTACAGTATAGTGATCTACAGTATAGTGATCTACGTTATGTGATCTACAGTATAGTGGATCTATAGTATAGTGATCTATAGTATAGTGATCTATAGTATAGTGATCTATAGTATAGTGATCTATCTAGGATCTACCAGTATAGTGATCTACAGTATAGTGATCTACAGTATAGTGATCTACAGTATAGTGATCTACATTATAGTGATCTACAGTATAGTGATCTACAGTATAGTGATCTATAGTATAGTGATCTACAGTATAGTGATCTATAGTATAGTTATCTACAGTATAGTTATCTACAGTATAGTGATCTATAGTATAGTGATCTACAGTATAGTGATCTATAGTATAGTGATCTATAGTATAGTGATCTACACGCACAAGGCCGTAGTAGGATTAGCCACAGCCTGGGGGGGGGGGCGGGGGAAGAGATCAAATCTAAGTCTGCATCACAAATGGCACACTATTCCCTATTTAGTGCCCTCACTCTAGTCAAAAGCAGCTATTTTGGGAATAGGGCACCATTTTGAGACTAGAGTCATCAACAACAAATACAGAAACCAATCAAATGTTTGCTTCTGACATCGTCAACAATGGGAAACCAATTAAGAACAGAAATCCTTCGACAATTGAACAACCAATCAGGTGTGTGAATAATCCAGGAAGAGGAGAGGAACTGTTATAGTTGCATCATCTTCTTCCTCACAGAACTGAACTATCTACAACAGACTGGTGGATTATAGCCTTATAGAGAATACTATACGCTGAGTGTACAAAACATTAGGAACACCTTCCTAATATTGAGTTGCACCCCCTTTAGCCCTCAGAACAGCCTCAATTCATCGGGGCATGGACTCTACAAGGTGTTGAAAGCGTTCCACAGGGATGCTGGCCCATGTTGACTCCAATGCTTCCTACAGTTATGTCAAGTTGGCTGGATGTCCTTTGGGTGGTGGACCATTCTTGATACACACGGGAAACTGTTGAGCGTGAAAAACCCAGCAGCATTGCAGTTCTTGACACAAACCGGTGCACCTGACACCTACTACCATACCCTGTTCAAAGGCATCTCTGAATGGCACACATACACAATCCATGTCTCAATTGTCTCAAGGCTTAAAAATCATTCTTTAACCTGTCTCCTCCCCTTCATCTACACTGACTGAAGTGGATTTAATAAGTGACATCAATAAGGGATCATATCTTTCACCTGGATTCACCTGGTCAGTCTATGTCATGGAAAGAGCAGGTGTTCATAATGTTTTGTATACTCAGTGTATAATCTCCCTCCCTCCCTGATTGTGTACATGTGTTTGTGTTTGTGTTTGTGTGTGTGTGTGTGTTAGTGTGCATGCGTACGTTGGTGTGTGTGTGTGCATCCGTGTACAGCCCTGTGTGTGTGTGTGTGTGTGTGTGTGTGTGTGTGTGTGTGTGTGTGTGTGTTACCACTAACCTGCAGACGAGCGTGGCGATGATGACGCACCAGGCGGTACAGCAGCAGTCAGGGTTGGGGGGCTGGTGTGTGTGTGTGTGTGAGTGAGAGTGTGTGTCGTCATGGTTCTTGCGTCGTCGGCAACACAGCCAGAAAGAGTAGAAGAGGAGGAAGAGGAGGTCCAGAGCCAGACACACCAACGCTATTCCGCCTAGCAACAGCACCGACTGGGGGAGAGAGAGAGAGAGAGAGAGAGACAGGATATGACATCACAACAACCTGGATCCTAAAATGACAAGTCAATAATCCCATTTTGGCCCTGTACAGAAACAACCCCTTCCAACTGGACACAAATTTGCTAAATCTACGTTGCTTCCACGTCATTTCAACAACAAAAAATCTAAATGTGGTGACGTTGAATCAACGTGGAAAACTGATTGGATTAGCAAAAAGTCATCAACGTAATGGAATTTGGGGAATGTTTTCTTTTTTTTCTCCCCTCTAACTTTGAACCTAAATCCACTGACTGGTTAAACATTTTTATTGAATTCACATTAGTGGACAACTTAATCAAATGTGAATCAAAACTAGACGTTGAACTGACGTCTGGGCCCAGTGGGTAGCTCCCTTTTCTGTGGACCATTTTGACAGAAACACAAGAGGGAGGAAAGCGGATATGATGTCACAATGAGCATTGTAGGGTACAGGAAGAGAAGAGGAAGTTGATTGTAAACGAACACCAAGTGGCCTCAAGTGAACCCCCCTCTCCCTCCCCATCACTAACTCCTACTGTAGAATCTTGTGTAGATCTGAACGTTGCACCTACAGATGTCAGATCTTAATTCATTTTCCTGCGCAACATGAAATTCAAATGAGCCTCGTGATTTTAGATTTGTTCACTAAAAAACCAGCAGTTCTCTTTCTCTCCATGCGGGGGGGCAGTCGAGTCAATGAGGACCAGTGCCAACTATCAAAATCATCCTCCCTACAAAGGTTATGAATCATCTGTCAAAATGTAGTTCAATCGTGGCCTGGGGTGGTGTATCGGTTAGGGCCGCTGCCTTCAGCGCGAACATATAGACCTACCGTATCAGCGCGGGCTCGATTCCGGCCCCTCCTCTTCTGGCACAAATAACTCAATCATTTAAAATATGGACAGTCCAGGGATATTTTACCCCCGATCTTGATAAGAAATGACCATACCAGACACTTTTATTTTGAAAGACAGTTGTATTTAAATGATAACTGAAATAGGAAACAAATAAAATATTAACAGTATACTACCCAACCAGGGCTGGGGTCAACACCATTTAAATTCAGAAAGTAAACCAAATTCAAATTTCTCATTTTTCCCATTGAAACGCATTGAAGAGAATTGGTTTTAGAATTTCAGTGTACTTCCTGAATTGACTGGAATTGAAATGGAATTGACCCCAATCCTGACACCAACATTAGTTTTCATTCATACAATGTGTCGGGTAAATTGCCACAGTAGATTTGCAGTGTTAAACGAATAAATACTTGATTTCTATTGTATGGAATGCTTGTCAAATAGATAAATCGCCCTTAGCCTGTTCAAAAAGGACTAAGTTGTTCTGATTACAATACCAATCAGAGGGCGAACATATCTTGAAAGACTTTGGTTGCAAGCAGGACTAAGGGTAACACCGTCAATCTTTTAGGGAGCGGTAATGGAGGGGACCGATAATGGTTGCAATTGAGATCAGCTGTGCGGGTGAATTTAGCGCGTATTGATGGTTTAACAGACATCGGCTGGCGATAACCCAGTGCCCTCGACGGTTGCAATAGGCCCCCTTGTTATGTGACTCTATTCCAATACATTCTGTAGGCTACCCGTTAGCCTATCCATTGTGACATCATGAAAGGTGTGAAACCCCATAATAGGCTACAGTGTTTCCCGGGCTGAGTTGATCAGCTGATTGGACCATCAGTTGATTGACAGATGTAGGCCTGCTGTAGAACAATAAACTTTCCTCCAGTGTGGACGCTGGCCCCCGTTCTATAGTTAGGCTATGTGTAATTTGTCAGGTGGCTTAGTGGTTAAGAGCGTTGTGCCAGTAACCGAAAGGTCGCTGGTTCTAATCCCTGAGCCGACTAGGTGAAAAATCTGTCGATTTGCCCTTGAGCAAGGCACTTAAACCCTAATTGCTCCTGTAAGTCGCTCTGGAAAGAGCGTCTGCTAAATGACTAAAATGTAATGTAAATGTCAATATAGTTCTGCTATAGGGTCTGGGTGGCCCTTACAGTAGGTGAACTTCATTGTTAAGCTGTTATGAGCCGGCTACAGTAGCATAGGCCAAAGGAGGTTGGTGGCACCTTAATTAGGGAGAACGGGCTCGTGGTAAGGTCTGGAGCGGAGTCAGTGGAATGGTATCAAATACATCAAACATGTTTCCATTTGCTACGTTCCGGACATTATTCTTTTTATTTTTATTTAACCGTTATTTAACCTTTATTTAACTAGGCATGTCAGTTGAGAACAAATTCTTATTTACAATGATGGCCTACCAAAAGGCAAAAGGCCTCCTGCGGGGACGGGGGCTGGGATTAAAAATAAATAAAATATAGGACAAAACACACATCACGACAAGAGAGACACCACAACACTACATAAAGAGAGACCTAAGACAACACAACATGACAGCAACATGGTAGCAACCCAACATGAAAACAACATGGCAGCAACCCAACATGAAAACAACATGGCAGCAACACAACATGAAAACAACATGGCAGCAACCCAACATGAAAACAACATGGCAGCAACACAACATGGTGGCAACACAACATGAAAACAACATGGTGGCAACACAACATGAAAACAACATGGTGGCAACACAACATGAAAACAACATGGTAGCAACACAACATGGCAGCAGCACAACATGGTAGCAGCACAAGACATGGCACAAACATTATTGGGCACAGACAACAGCACAAAGGGCAAGAAGGTAGAGACAACAATACATCACCTGAAACAGCCACAACTGTCAGTAAACGTGTCCATGATTGAGTCTTTGAATGAAGAGATGGAGATAAAACTGTCAGCCGTTCTCTCGTCAGCAGCCTCTGCTGGCATAGTACAGGCCTACTGTACTTTCAGTTTGATGACGGCATTTGAAGTCTTCTTTGTTGTGGACTGAAAGCCTGTATTGTGGGGCTTTAATATTTCATTTTGTAAAGCTGTCAAGGTGTGTATGCGTTTGAGCCAAAGACGATTTAGTTGAGCTTTACTTGGCTCATCACGCTCTAGCGACTCCTTGTGGAGGGCCGGGTGCCTGCAGGCTGACCTCAGTCGTCAGTTGAACGGCTTCCGGGTTAAGCGGGCGGGTGTTAAGAAGTGTGGTTTGGCGGGTCATGTTTTGGAGGACGCATGACATGACCTTCGCCTCCCGAGCATACTGCGACAAAAAGGGTCAAATTAAGATCTGACATCTGTAGCCATGCTAAGCTTTTTTTCCCCCCAGTTCGGGGGGCCAGACACACACACACTCTCTCCAGCTGCGACAGAGGTGTTTGGGGAGCAGAAGTGAGGCTGTGTGTCAGATGAATCAGGCTAACAACACACACTCATCTCACACACTCACTCCTGCTTTGGGGTAGCAGAAGCAGGACTTAGGGGAGCAGTGTGTCAGGACCCACCACACAGATCACATACACACACTGAACACTTTGATGTCTGACACAGAGAGAGAGAGAGAGAGAGACCAACACCTCACACAGGAGCAACAGATCAACAGACACCCCCCCCGGACCTACACATAGAGGACCCACGCCGAGAGGACCTACATCCAGACCACAGCACCATCAGCCACATCCACACCCCAACAAATTAACACCCCCCCAAGTCAACCATGCCCACACCCCATTTAGGCCCCCTCAGATCAGACCTATGCCCCTCCTGCCCACCCCATGCCCCTCACTCCCGCAAAGAGGGCCTCAACATGAAAGTCACACATACGCCCAAGCCGTGAGCAGGCAAACAGCCCCAACCCCCACTCTTACACTAGCCCAAGCCAATGGCATGTACCAGATGCTCAGCAGGCTCTGCTTACACATACTGGTCTGAGGCCAAACCACACGACTAACAACATTGGACACTTTATGGAACAGAAAGCCTTCACTATTTCATCCTGGAATATGCAAGGCCTGAGGTCATCTGCCTTTGGCTTAAAGAGCAGGAGCCTGGACTTCACCAAAGAAATCGGAAATACAGACATTGTCATCCTACAAGAAACATGGTATAGAGGAGACGGACCCACTGGTTGCCTTCTAGGTTACAGAGAGCTGGTAGTCCCATCCACCAAACTACCAGGTGTGAAACAGGGAAGGGACTCAGGGGGTATGCTAATTTGGTATAGAGCAGACCTAACTCACTCTATTCAATTAATCAAAACAGGAACATTTTACATTTGGCTAGAAAATCTAAAGGAAATGATCTCAACAGAGAAAAATGTCCTCCTGTGTACTACCTATATCCCCCCACTAGAATCCCCATACTTTAATGAAGACAGCTTCTCCATCCTGGAGGGGGAAATCAATCACTTCCAAGCCCAGGGACATGTACTAGTCTGTGGCAACCTAAATGCCAGAACTGGACAAGAACCTGACACCCTCAGCACACAGGGGGACAAACACCTACCTGGAGGTGACAGCATTCCCTCCCCCATATGCCCCCCTAGGCACAACTACGACAACATAACCAACAAAAACGGGTCACAACTCTCTCAACTCGCTCTGTCGCACGCTGGGTATGTACATAGTCAAAGGTAGGCTTCGAGGAGACTCATAACTCAGAATACCTGACCACTGTGACTGACCCAAACTTAAGGAAAGCTTTGACTATGTACAGACTCAGTGAGCATAGCCTTGCTATTGAGAAAGGCCGCCGTAGGCAGACCTGGCTCTCAAGAGAAGACAGGCTATGTGCACACTGCCCACAAAATGAGGTGGAAACTGAGCTGCACTTCCTAACCTCCTCAAATGTATGACCATATTAGACACACATATTTCCCTCAGATTATACAGATCCACAAAGAATTTGAAAACAAACCCAATTTTTATAAACTCCCATATCTATTGGGTGAAATACCACAGTGTGCCATCACAGCAGCAAGATTGGTGACCTGTTGCCACAAGAAAAGGGCAACCAGTGAAGAACAAACACCAAATGCAACCCATAATCCATATTATTTATTTTTCCATTTGTACTTTTCCTATTTGCACATTATTACAACACTGTATATAGACATAATATGACATTTGAAATGTCTTTATTCTTTTGAAACTTCTGAGTGTAATGTTTACTGTTCATTTTTTATTGTTTATTTCACTTTGGTTTATTATCTGTTTCACTTGGTTTGGCAATGTAAACATATGTTTCCCATGTCAATAAAGCACTTATTGAAGCAATAAAGCAATTTAATTGAATTGAGAGAGAGGGGGGGGGGGGGGGGGGGGGGGGGGTGGTCTCAGTTGGTAGAGCATGGCGCTTGCAACGCAAGGGTTGTGGGTTCGATTCCCACGGGGGGCCAGTATGAAAAATGTATGCACTCAGTCGCTCTGGATAAGAGCGTCTGCTAAATGACTAAAATGTAAAATGTAAAAAGAGGGGTAAGGTTTGTCTGACTCAAAAAGAGAGAAAGAGAGAACCAGATGAAAGAGAGAACCAGATGAAAGAGAGAACCAGATGAAAGAGAGAACCAGATGAGGGAGAGCAGGAGAGGGGGATGGGAGAATGATGTCTGACAGAGAGTAAGATGAAAGAGGAAGGAAAGCAGAAAGAAAGAGGGGAGGGGCTGGCAAAGGTTGAACTGTGAGTAGGTTGTTTAAGAAGCATGTGACAATAAATGTGATTTGGTTCATGGTCTTTCTCTGTGACATGATATAAACACACAGCTGGATATGTCTGCTGTGAAAGCGTGAAGGAAGTTTCCCTTCCTCCAGGATACACATGGAAAAGCATTCTGCTCCAGATCATGCCGGGACAATGTCTGTAGGTTCCGGAATAGCGGACAGGAATTCTGCAGCTGCCGAAAACAATCTAAAACAAGTTCCATAGGAATTGTGCTACAGGTGAAGAGATACCATCTACACACAACAGCCCCAGGTGGCTGAGCTTTGGGATTATCCGGTAGGACAGAACACCAGCAGTACTTCGGACCGCCAAGGGAAACGTTTGAATACCCCAGTGCTTTACACTGTGTACAGCTAGTGACTAGCGTAGCTAGAATGACCCCAGTAGGTCACTACACTCCCGAGTGGGCGGGAATCAGGTCTAAGGCACTCATCTCAGTGCTAAGGAAGCGTCACTACAGACCCTGGCTCGATTCCAGGCTGTATCACAACCGGCCGTGATTTGGAGAGTCCCATAGGGCGGCGACAATGGCCCGCTCGTCGGGTTTGGCCGGTTAGGCGTCATTGTAATAAGAATTTGTTCTTAACTGACTTGCCTAGTTAAATAAAGGTAAATAAAGACACCAGGCCACATGGCTTCCCTTGACATAACAACATATACATATCTAAGGAAACAGTGTCACCATCTCAACAAAACTTATAGAAATGGGACACTTCTGCTCTTTGAATGTTACCTCAATATAAAAGCATCCTTATGGAATGCGAACAAGACATGTCACTACTTCCATCGTGACTGTGTCCAGAGCCTAGTTCATATATCCAGAGATGGAGAGAGACAGAACCAGAGGCGCTCCCATGGTACTTATCCTAAGAGTAGGGGTGTTAACCCCGGTGTCCTCGCTAAATGTACCATCATGGCCACCTAATCATCCCTAGCTTCCAATTGGCTCATTCATCCCCTCTCCTCTTCCCCAGGTTGTTGCTGTGAATGAGAATGTGTCTCAGTCAAACTACCTTTTAGTCAAATAAGGGTCAATTTAAAAAAAGGAGGACTTTGGGCATGAAAAACGGTCCAACTCTGCCTCTTCATCAATTTTCGAACAGAAATGGGGTGTGCCTTTGGTGCTTCATCAATGTGTCATTCTGGTCATGCTAGTTCGTTAGCTAAGCTAGCCACTGTTGCTAGCCACTGTAGCTAGCCAGTGTCGACTTTTAATAAATACTACCATGGGAACGGAGGAGACAGAACAGACCCCACAGAACAGACAGTCACTCATATGACACCAGAGTGCGACAGAAGAAACATTTACTTATTATTATTAAATGGACCACAGGGATCGATTCCAAACCACAGCCTTGATCCCTTTCTCCTGGCTATACTGTAGTAGTGTATAGTGTCCACTCCATCCTGTTAGGTCAATACAGGGATCAATTCCAAACCACAGCCTTGATCCCTTTCCCCTTGCTATACTGTAGTAGTGTATAGTGTCCACTCCATCCTGTTAGGTCAATACAGGGATCAATTCCAAACCACAGCAGAATATAATACAGTTGAAGTGGGAAGTTTACATACCCTTAGGTTGGAGTCATTAAAACTCGTTTTTCAACCACTCCACACATTTCTTGTTAACAAACTATAGTTTTGGCAAGTCAGTTAGGACATCTACTTTGTGCATGACACAAGTAATTTTTCCAACAATTGTTTACAGACAGATTATTTCACTTATAATTCACTGTATCACAATTCCAGTGGGTCAGAAGTTTACATACACTAAGTTGACTGTGCCTTTAAACAGCTTGGAAAATTCCAGAAAATGATGTCATGGCTTCTGATAGGCTAATTCACATCATTTTAGTCAATTGGAGGTGTACCTGTGGATTTATTTCAAGGCCTACCTTCAAACTCAGTGCCTCTTTGCTTGACATCATGGGAAAATCAAAAGAAATCAGCCAAGACCTCAGAAAAATTATTGTAGACCTCCACAAGTCTGGTTCATCCTTGGGAGCAATTTCCAAACGCCTGAAGGTACCACGTTCATTTGTACAAACAATAGTATGCAAGTATAAACACCATGGGACCACGCAGCCGTCATACCGCTCATTTAGTCATTTAGCAGGAAGGAGACGCGTGTTCTGTCTCCTAGAGATTAACGCGTGTTCTGTCTCCTAGAGATTAACGTAATTTGGTGCGAAAAGTGCAAATCAATCCCAGAACAACAGCAAAGGACCTTGTGAAGATGCTGGAGGAAACAGGTACAAAAGTATCTATATCAACAGTAAAACGAGTCCTATATCGACATAACCTGAAAGGCCGCTCAGCAAGGAAGAAGCCACTGCTCCAAAACCGCCATAAAAAAACCAGACTACGGTTTGCAACTGCACATGGGGACAAAGATCGTACTTTTTGGAGAAATGTCCTCTGGTCTGATTAAACAAAAATAGAACTGTTTGGCCATAATGACCATTGTTATGTTTGGAGGAAAAAGGGGGTACCTTGCAAGCCGAAGAACACCATCCCAACCGTGAAGCACGGGGATGGCAGCATCATGCTGTGGGGGGTGCTTTTCTGCAGGAGGGACTGGTGCACTTCACAAAATAGATGGCATCATGAGGAAGGAAAATTATGTGGATATATTGAAGCAACATCTCAAGACATCAGTCAGGAAGTTAAAGCTTGGTCGCAAATGGGTCTTCCAAATGGACAATGACCCCAAGCATACTTCCAAAGTTGTGGCAAAATGGCTTAAGGACAACAAAGTCAAGGTATTGGAGTGGCCATCACAAAGCCCTGACCTCAATCCTATACAAAATTTGTGGGCAGAACTGAAAAAGCGTGTGTGAGCAAGGAGGCCTACAAACCTGACTCAGTTACACCAGCTCTGTCAGGAGGAATGGGACAAAATGTACCCAACTTAAAGTGGGAAGCTTGTGGAAGGCTACCCGATACGTTTGACCCAAGTTAAACAATTTAAAGGCAATGCTACCAAATACTAATTTAGTATAAGTAAACGTCTGACCCACTGGGAATGTGATGAAAAAAATAAAAGCTGAAATAAATAATTATCTCTAATATTATTCTGACATTTCACATTCTTAAAATAAAGTGGTGATCCTAACTGACCTAAGACATGGCATTTTTACTAGGATTAAATGTCAGGAATTGTGAAAAACTGAGTTTAAATGTATTTGGCTAAGGTGTATGTAAACTTCCAACTTCAACTGTATATGCCATTTAGCAGACACTTTTATCCAAAGAGACCACAACATGCCTGGATTCCACATAGTAATAGTATCCTTTCAGGTGAGTGAGGGTAGAGTGAAGGGAGAGAGAAGGGGGTTTGGGACTGAGCTTAGGTGTGTAGAGAGTGGGTATTGGAGGGGGGCTGGTAGGGGTGACAGTGGGTGAGAGAATGGGGCTACAGAAAATGTATGCCACCACCATGACAAACAAAGTGTGCACCCTATTCCCTATATAGTGCAGTACTTTTGACCAGTCACAGCTGGCTTTCATGGACCCCATTTGGGACACAATCAAAGTTTTTCTTTTAGAGTGAGACTCTGATCATGTAGTCAAGGAAACCTGACAGATATTTCAAACATCACTAGGGGCCGGGGATATGGTGTTTATTTTCTATCAAATGTATTTCTATGGGAATATGGGAAACCCCTACTTTTTTATTAGAGCG